CTGAGTCATCCTATTCTTCTTAGTCATCATTGCTATTTTTTCAAATTTCTTGATTATGTAATAATTTGTTGCGTAGTGCGATTTTATATTTTTTTGATGAATTATTTAAAAAATGACTCCGAAGCTCTGTCAGAATTCTAGGCTGTTTTAAAAGCTTTTTTTATTTAACTTAGGTACATGTGATTTTCAAGCGTATTTATTTGATTAAACAGGATAGTGTGTTTTGATTGGACACTAACTAGTCTGTCATGTGTCTCTAGTTCTTTGTTTCTTGTAGACGAAATTCTTTTAAAACACAAAATAATTGAGCAAAGAATATCATGCTTTTCGATAATTTCGTCTTCTGGCTCTACAATAATATATGTATATGTTTATATTCATAGAATATTCTAGAATAGTAGTCAATAACAATATGAGTGTTTCATTTAAATAATATCGATTTGTTAAGTAAGACCACAATGGAATTACCACAGTTCATTAAAGATGCAGATAGAATATCATCAACTAAAATTAAGGAAAGTTCCACAAAATTGAGGATCATTCGAACCTAGATGGCCAAGTTAAGGATAATGTCTGGACTAACTTCTTCTTTTGGACGCATAAATTAGGCTTTTTAATTAAGGTGGATCCCAACGGCCAGCCAGCCTCAGCAATATTTAGTAGTCGAACTTTTAAGGCGAAATTGAGATTTGTTGGTATGTAGAGCCAGTTACATAAGCCGCACAATTAGACGTGTTTCTCGTCAGATTTCCGAACATCACCCTGGATAGTGGTTAAATAAAGGACAAACAAAATCTCTTCGTAGTGCTATTCTATCTCATGTTGTGGGTACAAAACACAAGATTGACGTTAACCATGCTTTCAGCGTCATTTACCGCATACCAACGAGTCTCAGTTTTGCCTTAAGAGTTCGACTACTAAATATTGCTGAGGCTGTGGGGATCCATATTAACAAGCCTAATTTGTGCGTCCAAAAGAAGCTAGTTCAGACATTATCCTTACCACCTTGGCCATCTAGGTTTGAATGATCCTCAATTTTTGTGGAATTTTCCTAATTTTAGTTGATATTCTATTTGCTATTATACCTTTATTATTATTATTATTATAATTTAAGCATCTTTAATGAACTGTAATTCCATTGTGATCTTACTTAGCAAATCGATATTATTTAAAAAACACGCTAATATTGTTATTGACTACTATTCTAGAATATTCTATGTGTATAAACATACAGATATATAATTGTAGAGCCAGAAGAGGAAATTATCGAAAAGGTAATTCTTTGCTCAATTATTTTGTGTTTTATAGATGTCTGAATGAATATTTTTGCTATATTAAACTCTTTTAGTGAAGTTTCCAATGTGACTACAAACAAAGGATTGGACACATGACACTAGTTAATGTCAAATCAAAAGTATCTAATACAGTCCTACAGGAGGTCAGTCGCCAGCCCGAATAGCTCAGTGGTAACATCTCTGACTGACTGCAGCATTCACTGGGTGACATGGGTTCGAATCTCAGAAGTTCCTTCAAGGCAGTTGCAGATACGCCTTGCTGACTGCTGAGTGCCAACAAGCACGAAACTTAGGTCAGGCTGGGTTTCCTGTGGCCGATTGCCTCCAACCATCTAATAAGGATAGTGTGTTATTGATTACAAGTCACCTTATACTCATTTGCGATCATAAAATCGCCTGGGTTTTTCTTATTCCTTAACGTTGCCACTGGAACATAGGGCTTCAAACTAGAGGCTTGAAGTATCGGGTGGGGTTGCTAGCCCCATGCTTAACCTTCCCTCTTTACCAGTCTAATTACTGACTTAGCGAGGTAAAGAAGTCAGTCAAGTGGCCGGGGATCGAACCCCGGATCACGTGTTTGGTCGGCGGGCAATCTGCCTGTGTACCACCGACGCACGCAGCTTTAAAGATGTAGGTTATTAAATCCTTTATTCTTTCCAGTGAGAATAGTTACAACATGAAATTGTAGAAGTGGATGTTATAATCAAACTTCCAACTGCATTGATGAACATTATTCACGACTATAATATACTTTTTAACCAGTATGTAAATGGCTAATGTGTCAGATTTCTGAAGTACACAGGCAGTATGATATTCAAGTGTTGGTTTGTAAGGGTTTGATTGGTTAAAGGAATTCATCATGAGCTGACATTAGTTAGAGAACCATTGGAAAACCTGCTAGGGAGTACTGGACAGCTGTTCCGTCCTAGTTTGGGACTCTTCATCAGTACGCACCCACCGGGATTCTAACCCAGGACCTTCTGGTTACAGCGTTCTCACATTGTATTCTAAATTCTTTTTCCGTGTGTTGAAATGTGTTTACCTCGAGCTGTGTTCGTCTAACTTCATTAGGATGCACCTCCACAATACGACACTATAACCGACCAACCACTTTTAAATATCTCCCACACTGAGGTAGACACAAAAGTCAGATTGGAATAAAAATAACGACCACAATGACAGCAACCTTGGTTAGACAAAATACATGGTATGCTTATAAATCCTCAGAAAACTAAGTCATAAACGAACGAATCAAATTTTTTCAGTAAGGTTGTCACATCAATACGTGCATAGATCACAAATTCACCGTTAACAAAGAAACTTATCTGTCCCAAAACTGTTTTGGCCGTTAGTAGTAGTATTACAAAATGATAAGCAAAGCAAAAAATAAGAAACAAGGAGTAATAAGGGGAAGAGGAACTCTTGGTGAGAAGGAGATGCTCACTGCTGCTCACTAGAGACTGGGCCTATTCAGGCAGTTAACTGCCTTGGGTTCTAGTGGGAAGCCGTCACCAGTAGGGTACAGCAGGTTGAAGATGAGGCAGTAACTCGTCGAAGAAGACATTGAGAAGTGGTCGTGCTATGTCGTGCGTGAATTGGTAGAAGTTAGAATTCATGGACTGGCGATTGGATTGGGTCCCAGTGGCTGGATAAATGGTCTACGAGCTAACTCGCCTTGTAACCAGAAGGTCTCGGGTTCGAACGCTGTCTGTGAGTGCGTACTGACGAAGAGTCTCAAACTAGGTTGACAAAACAGCTGCCCAGTACTCCCAGCTGGTTTTCCAATGATTCTCTGACTGATGTCAGATTATGATGAAATCCTCCAACCAATCAAACAAACGTAAAATCCCTACAAAACCAATACTAGAAGAAGAGTCATTAATCCAAGTTTGGCCACAGTATGAATAGTTCCAGTTTAGCCGATCTTGTCGCAACTACTTCCGCTATGTGTAGGAGACGTAAGCGAACTCTACGTGATAACGATCTTGGAATTTGGTATATAACCCTAAAGACTGTGTTGGCGTCGATACGATGTCCAGTATCTACTATGAGTGACCTTGTTGAACCAATCTGGTAAATGTTTTCAAACTCGTAGATGAACCCATCTTAACTAAACTTAGCTCTTCTTCACGCATATACCATTTCAACTGTTCCTGTGGTTCAGGTTATTTGGGGCGTACGATTACGCAGGTTCGTCTACGAGTTTGCGAACATTCACCAGCTTGGTCCAGCAAATGCGGGGAGGGGGGAAATTAAATGCATAAAAAGCTCGATTATGTCAAACATGCTCGATACTGGACATCATATCGACGCAAACACAGTCTTCAAGGTTATATACCGAATTCCAAAGTTGTTATCACGTACAGTTCGCTCACGTCTCCTACACATAGCTGAAGCTGTTGCAATAAGATAAACTAAACAGTTGTACGACAATGCTGCATGCCAAGTAATCAACAATGAGAAACTTACAGAATCCTTCAAAGTGAGGACAGGAGTAAGACAAGCTGGCTGCCTACTATCGCCAATGATTTTCCTGATTGCAGTAGACTGGATAATGCGACAAACAGTGGGCAATGAGGAAACAGGCATAAAATGGACTCACACAAAAAAGGACTTGGAGGATCTAGACTTCGCCGATGATATATGTCTGATTTCCCACAAACTGGAAGATATGCAAGTGATGAAAACCAACAAGTTGGCAGAAGAAGCATACAGAGAAGATAGGCCTTCCCTCCAGGTGAACATAGAGGAAACAGAGGTAGGTGATGAAGATTCCTGGTAAACACCACCAACAGCAACGACAACAACAACAGACAACAATCAGCATAAATTGAGGGGACCTGAAAGAAACAGCCTCTTTTACCTACTTGAGAAGCATCGTTTCAACTACAGGCCGACTGAACTGACCAGGATATCAAAGCAAGACAAGCTTTCACTACTCTCAAGTCTGTGTGGAGGTCAACAGCACTCAGCATCGAAAATAAGATCCGGATTTCCAACTCCAATGTGAAGTCAGTGCTACTCAACATACGGATCAGAGACTTGCACTGCGCGTTATAAAGAGCATCTCAAACAAACTACAGACCTTCATTAACAGTTGTCTTCGCTCAATACTCAAGATCAGATGGCCGGCCAGAAAAGATCAGAAACAGAGATCTCTGGCAATGAGCGAACCAACACATCAGGAACCGATTGTGAAAGAAATAGGCAGGAAGAAATGGAGATGGATTGGCTGGCCATACTCTGAGGAAACAAACTATGAAGTGACATCACTAGACAAGCCATTGCTCGAGTGGAACCCGAAAGGGAAGCGGCGAGTTGGTCGTCAATGCCAGGGTGACTTGGAGGAAGTCATATGAAGAGGAGATGAAAGCATGTGGACAGACGTGGACCGAACGCAATGGAGGCGCACAGCTGAAGCCCTATGTTCCTCTAGGAATTAAAGGAAACAATAATGATAATAATCATGAACCGGAACTTTGTATTCAGAGAGAACACGTTCAGACATTGTTCTTACCGTGGCTAAACTCGTATTAATGATTCTTCTCCTACCAAGAGTGCCTCTTTCCCTCATCTCTCTCTCTCTTGGTTTCATTTTAATTTCTTTGCTTTGCTTATTATTATTGCAGTTATTATTATTATTATTCGTTATAATTTATACCCTTCATTCAAAACATTAACTTATTGATTTTAACTACTGATTAGGTATACCTATTCACGACCAGCATTTATTATACTCCGGTATTGAACTGCTGGATCAAACAGTATTATCTACTGCAAATATCGGTCATGGAGCATTATTACGTCTAATTGTCAAATTAAGAACTGGTCCACTGGTGATTACACATCATTCATGTAAAGCCTCTACACCGACAATGAATCAAAATGGACATAATAACAATAATGATAATAATAATAATAATGGATCTATACCATATATACCTAACAGTGACCATACTGAAGAATCACAATGGCTTTCCGCATTATTATCCCCTCTGTCACAAGTAGCCACCTTGTCCACCTCTGCGTCGACTATCTTCTTACCATCGATATATTTACCCCCAGGAGTTGTTGATGTCAACAAATCAGAACCAACTTCAAATCATACACTAACTGAATACTACAAGAACTCCGACAATGATGTTGATGATGTCAATTATGAAGGATACGATGATGAAATTAGTCAGATAGCTGAATATCTTGGTTATGCAATCGATGAAACGGAACAGTATCATTCATTAATTGATTATCCTGTTGTGCTGAATGAAAATCAAATGATGAACAGTATTCAAAACGAAAGCGGTGATGATCAGAATGACCTTGACTATTGTCATCTTAATCAACTACAACACCAACAACAACAGTTCAAATGTACGGTAGCATCAAGTGGTGTAAGTTTCTCTTATTATTATTACTTTTTACGTGAATTAACTGGAGTGTAGTGTTAAGATTTTTTTCGTCTAGTGGATAATGTTTTGACGTTTCAAATGATGAGTGATTGGTTCCAGGATTAATGGGATTTACAGGCAAATCTCCACTTGATCAGACCCATATAGGACGGAATACACATTCTGGATTCCATTGCCATTCATCTTCTAATAAACTATACTAATTATTGTTTGAAAATCCCCATTGAGTCATATGAAAAAGAGAAGACATTCAGCGAAGAGACTCTTTTCGGCGAATTCATTCACATAGCTGTACAATCGCATTTATATATAAATATTTATGTGTGTGTGTACATGAGGTTTGTCAAGTTTAGATAATTGATTAGTTAATACAAGAATGACAAAGTTAATCAGACAGCAACTAAAGTAAGACTGAGTTAAAAAACTAGATGACGTAATATAATTGGCTAAAATGTTACAACTTAGGTCAGGATAGCAACAGGGGTAATTACAGGTAGAGATTAAGTAGAAGTGCAATTGAGTGAATAAGTTGGATGACGTAACATGAATGACTAGAAACTGAGCGTTGTTCAAGTCAGTAACAGTGGTAGTGGGGTGTAGAGATTGAATCGGGTGGGGGTAGAGAACAAGAAAGTTGAGAATGTAAAATGTTACAATTGAGAAGACAAAGTAATACTAATGAAGAGACAGAAAAAAAAAGATTAGGTAGAATTTACATGTCGGCTAATAAGATAGATTACGTCCATTGCAAGTGTAACGATTGAATGAACTTCTTCTGTATGCAGAGTTCAGGACTTAGCAAGTGAATCGCCATTGCTTCTGCAGTTTGAAGAAGTCTGATTCGTACACCTTTAGGGAGACCACCTCTTACTCTGTAGACGACTTTGAAGTTTGTTTGCGGTGTAGCTTGGTGTCCGGATTCTATCAGATGTTCTAAGATGGAACTGCGGGGGCATCGATTTTCTCCTTTGTAAAACCATGCTGGTAAGTGCTCGGTGATACGTTTGGAAAGCGAGCGCTGGGTACGGCCGACATACCTGGCTCCACACGAGCAGGTGAATTGATAAATGCACATTGATGAGGCCAGCAGCGGTAGCTTATCCTTCACGTTCACATGAATCATAGGTTTTGTGGAGAAGGTTAGTCGTAGTTCAGCTGCGAAGAAGGTCTTCTTAAGTGAGCGCGACAGTCGATTTTTTAGTGTTTCCGCAGATAGATCTCCATTGAATTGGAGGTTCATGTAGAGTAGTTTTTTCTTGACGCTGAGTATGGGCGGCTTTTCTGGTCTAGGAATCATAGATTTTGCAATAAATCTTTCTGGATAGCAATTCTCGACGAGGATTCTCTTCAGGTTGTCCAGTTCGTCTTCTACGGTGTCCGGGGTGCAGATTCTGCGAACTCTGTAGCTGAGTGAACGGATCAGGTTTCGTTTGGTGTATAGTGGTACCCAACTGTGAAAGTTAGTAAGCTGTCCGTTCCACGTCGATTTTCTGTGGATAGATCTTCTCAGTGTTCCATCCTGTTCTCTTCTGGTTAGTTGGACGTCAAGAAAAGATATTGTGGAGTTGGACTCTTTCTCTATCGTGAACTGAATTGCAGGGTGGCAGTTGTTAAACGACTTTAAGATGTCGTCTAGATTTTCTTCGTTGTTGACGATAATGAAGGTGTCGTCGACGTATCTTTTATAGATTTCGAAGGTATTGATCATTTTCTTCAGGCATGTGTTTTCGAGTTTTGCCATGAAGAAATCTGCAAGCAAAGGGCCTAGTGGTGAGCCCATAGCTATACCATCCTTTTGGCGATATATTTCGTTGTTGAAAGAGAATTGAACATTCAGGGTACACCTCAGTAGGAGTTCTTTAAGGTGCTCGGTGGGTATACCAATGTTTATTCCCATTGAGTGAATAAGTTCGCATATGTAGCATATTGTTTCAGTCGGTGGAACGTTTGTGAATAGTGATGTGACATCTAATGAAATCATTGTCTTGTTGGATACGTTGATATTTTCGATTGAGTCGATAATTATTGTTTACAGGATTTTCATCATGAGCTGACATTAGTTAGAGAACCATTGGAAAACCAACTGGGAGTACTGGACAGCTGTTTCGTCCTGGTTTGGGACTCTTCAGCAGTAGGCACCCACCGGGATTTGCACCCAGGACCTTCTGGTTACAAGGCGAGCTCGTATACCAAATCAAATCCCTACAAACCGACACTTGAATATCAATGAGATGCTCACTAGTGACTTGCCCTATTCAGATAGGTAGTTACCTGGGGTTCTAGTGAGAAGTTGTGACCAGTAGGGTGCAGCAGGTCGGGTGTAAGGACAAATACTCGCCGAAGATATTGGCTAGGGGTCGCACTATGTCGTGAATTGGCAGAAGTTAGAATTCATGGGCCATTGGATCGGGTCCTAGAGTCTGAATGGTCTACGAGCTCGCCTTATAACCAGAAGGTCCTGGGTGCGAATCCCGGTGGGTGCCTACTGCTGAAGAGTCCCAAACCAGGACGAAACAGCTGTCCAGTACTCCCAGTTGGTTTTCCAATGGTTCTCTAACTAATGTCAGCTCATGATGAAAATCCTGTAACCAATCAAATCTCTACAAACCAACACTTGAATACTAATTATTGTTGTTTATGTTAAGTCTTGATGTTATTTTGATAGTGATAAAAACATGAGCTATTCAGTGATGTCCTTCTCATCATATATTATCATTTCTTTGGGTTCTGAATGGAACATGGGGCTTCAGCAACACATCCTCACATTCTTCTATTTTCTGCTGTCCTCCTCTTTAGGTGGCTGGGTCCACGATTATTGCCCATAATCTCTCATCTCCTCCTCAGATGATCTCCTTCAGGTCACCCTCTCACCGACGACCCACCTATCGCTCGCTTCTCATTGGGATTCCACTCAAGTGATGACCTGCGTTGAGCGCAATCGGTTCTTGGTTATTTAGTTGATTGCCAGAGTTTCTTGTGGCTAATTGTTTTTTAGCCGGCCACCTGACCATTTGATCTTCACTATGGAGCAAGCGAAGGGGGCAGCTGTTGATAAGAGTCTGTAACTTGTTGGAAATCCTTTTCGTGACTCACGCACAGTGTGGGTTTCTGACCCGTAAAGAAGAACTGAGTGACCGACTCGAAATTTGTGTTGAGTAGAATCCGAATCTAGTTGTTTATGCTGGCTGGCTGGTTGGCTGAGTGAAGCAGAAGATTTTCAAACTGGCTTCAGGTTGATGGAGGCGTATCTTGCCTATTCAATTCGGGATTTCACAAAGGGCTTGTGTGATTAGCAAGATTTTGCTATCATAATGTTTCAGGTGATATGCCATGTTTATTATTGTATTATTATTGTTCCCTTGGGTTCCTAGTGGAACATAGGGCTTCAACTGCACGTCTCCACTTGCTTCTGTTTTCTGCTGTACTTTTCACCTGCATCCATGTTAGTCCATACTGTTTCAACTCCTCTTCACACGATCTCCTCCATGTCACCCTTGCACCGACGTCCCACTCGCCGCTTCCCTTTCGGGTTCCACTCGAGCAGTGGCCCAACGCGCGATGTCACCCAACGACCTCCTCAGCGAGTGTCCAATCCATCTCCACTTTCTCCTGCATATTTTTTGAGCGATTGGTTCTTGTTTTGTTTCTTCCCGTAGTTTCTTGTTGGTGATTCTATCCGGCCATCTGATCTTCAGTATAGAACGAAGACAGTTGTTGATAAAGGTCTGCAACAGGCTGTTGGAAATGTTCTTTGTGACCCGCCAAGTTTCTGATCCCTACGTATAGAAGAACTGACTGACTTGACGTTTGTATTGAAAATCCGAATCATTTTGTTGTTTATGCAGGCTGAGTGACGAAGATTTCCAGATTGTTTTCAGGTTGATGAATGTGTTTCTCGCCTTCCCGATTCTCGATTTGACATCCTCGTCCGTTCCTCCTGTAGTTGAGACAATGCTCCCTAGATAAGTGAAAGAAGTAACCTCTTTCAAATCCCCCCGTTGATGGTGATTGGCGGTGGATGTTGCTGCTGTTGTTGTTGTTGGTTGGTTATTTTCATAACCTCCGTCTTGTCTATGTTCACCTGGAGTCCTGTCTTCACCGGCTGCTTCTTCGACCAGTTTGTCGGTTTTCGCTTGTAAGTCTTCGATTTTGTGTGACATCAAACATAAATCATCCGCGAAATCCAGGTCTTCTTGATTCTTCACGTCGGTCCAGGATATCCCTGTCTTCTCGTTTCCCCCTGTCTGACACATAATCCAGTCCACCACGTATAGCCACGTTTAGCTAGGAGTGAATGCCGCTGCACACAGTGGATAGTTCAAATGATTGATGATATTTCTAACTGCAGTTGTCAAGGAACTTAACCCTAAGTTCCTATTATTTGCGAAGACGCTCCTAATCGATAACCACTATGATCAATTATCGACTTTAACTCCAAAAACACCAGTATTTCTAGCAACACATATATTGTTCGGCAATTAAAATCGAAAAATGATGCAGAAGTTTTATTATTCGTATTGTTTTGTCTTCTTCCAACTTGTACACGACTGAATGATTCGTGCCTTCGAGTTGCCCGCCAATGGCTATCAAGGTCAATGAACCAATGTTCAAAGTTCACATTCCTTTACAGTAGTAATGGTTGAATCGAACTGAAATCTCTACTGAGATATCAATTACCGAGAAATTATAGATGTACATTACTGATGAATGCCACCGATACTCATGAAACTTATTATTATTACTATTATTCTCTTGGGTTCCAATTGGAACATAATAATAATAATTTGCTTCGTTCCAAAACAGTACTTGTGATACAGAATGGAATTCTCAGCATTTTTACTACAGTATTGCATCCAGTTAGTACATTATCAATAAATAGAATTCTACATAGATTAGGGAAATCTCAGTTCATTATGACAACAGCATATTGCCATGTCGATAGCAAAGCCAAAGTTGAACAGTGTTTGAAGGTGTTAGAAAAG